GGTCCCGGTTCGGTGTCCCGGGGGGATTCGGGCGGGGCTGTGGCCGTGAGGGGAAGGGGGCGGCGCTGGGGGGGGACAGAGGGACAGAGGGACACAGGGACCGGACACAGGGACACAGGGACAGGAGGGGACAGAGGGACAGGACACAGGGACAGGAGGGGACACAGGGACACACAGGGACACACAGGGACACGGGGACAGGACACAGGGACAGGAGGGGACAGATGGACACAGGGACAGGACACAGAAGGACACAGGGACAGAGGGACACAGAGGGACACAGGGACAGGACACAGGGACACAGAAGGACAGAGGGACAGGAGGGGACACAGGGCCAGGAGGGGACAGAGGGACACAGAAGGACACAGGGACACAGAAGGACAGAGGGACACAGGTACAGACAGACAGGAGGGGACACAGGGACAGGACACAGAGGGACAGAGGGACCTGAGGCCGTTGTGTCCCCACAGCTCCAAGCCCAGCTGGGCTGACCAGGTGGAGGAGGAGGGAGGAGAAGATGGTGAGTGACACCTGGGGACACCTGGGACACACCTGGGGACACCCCCAAACACACCTGGGGACACCTGGGGGTACCTGGGGACACCTGGGACACACCTGGGGACACCTGGGGGGGACATCTGAGGGACCCCCAAACACACCTGGGACATACCTGGGGATACCTGGAGATACCTGGGGACATCTGAGGGGATCTGGGGACACCTGGGGACCCCCCCAAACACACCTGGGGGGGCTCTGGGGGTACCTGGGGACAGCTGGGGACAGCTGTGGGGGTGGCACCTGGGGGTACCTGGCCCAGGTGAGGCTGTACCTGTGCCCAGGTGACCCCAGCTGTCCCCCAGACAAGGTGATCACCAGTGAGCTGCTCAAGGATCTGCCCCTGCCCGGGGTCCTGGGGGGTCCCTCCAGCGCCGAGGCCGAGCTGCTCAAGGGAGGTGAGACTGGAACACACCTGGACACACCTGGGGACACACCTGGGGGTACCTGGGGACACCTGGATACACCTGGGGGGCTCTGGGGACACACCTGAGGACACCTGGGGGCACCTGGGGGTACCTGGAGACATCTGGGACACATCTGGGGATACCTGGGGACACCTGGGGGGCTCTGGGGACAGCTGGGGGCACAACTGGGGACACCTGGAGACACCTGGATACACCTGGGGGGCTCTGGGGACACACCTGGGGACACCTGGGGGTACCTGGAGACATCTGGGACACATCTGGGGACACCTGGGGATACCTGGGGGGCTCTGGGGACATCTGGGGACACCTGGGGACACACCTGGTGCTCACCTGTCCCTGTCCCCAGGGCCCCTCCCATCCCCCAAGGAGGTCGTCAATGGCAACATCAAAACCATCACCGAGTACCGCGAGGAGGAGGACGGGCGCAAGGTCAAGGTGAGCTGGGGGCTCAGGTGAGCTCAGGTGAGCACAGGTGAACTCAGGTGAGCACAGGTGAACTCAGGTGGGCACAGGTGAACTCAGGTGGGCACAGGTGAGCACCTGAGCCCCAAATTCTGCACCTGACCCCTAAATTCTGCACCTGAGTGCCCCAAATTCTGCACCTGAGCCCCAAATTCTGCACCTGAGCCCCAAATTCTGCACCTGAGCCCCAAATTTGACACCTGAGCCCCAAATTCTGCACCTGAGCCCCAAATTCTGCACCTGAGCCCCAAATTCTGCACCTGAGCCCCAAATTCTGCACCTGAGCGCCCCAAATTCTGCACCTGAGCCTCAAATTCTGCACCTGAGCCCCAAATTCTGCACCTGAGCCCCAAATTCTGCACCTGAGCGCCCCAAATTCTGCACCTGAGCCCCAAATTCTGCACCTGAGGCCCAAATTCGGCACCTGAGCCCCAAATTTGACACCTGAGCCTCGAGTTTTGGCACCTCTGAACCCCAGATTTGGCTCAGGTGCTCCAGGTAACTCAAACTCGGCACCTGAGCCCTGAAATTGGTACCTGAGAATCCCAAATTTGGGGTTTTTGGGGCTCAGGTGCTCCAGGAATTCCCAAATTTGGGGTTTTTGGGGCTCAGACGCTCCAGG